AATACATAGTAGGAAACACCTGGTTGTGTGGCCGTTATGGAATAATAAATTGCGGTTGTGCAGTCTTGCTCCTTGTAATCAAGGTGCTCACAATCCACAATACTCTGCAAAAGAGTTACTAATTATACATTAATCAGGATAACAAAACAGCTAGAATGATAGAAGATAATCTCAAGGATACCTGCACACTATCAGCTATTTCATTAAGAAGAGCCACATGCACAACTACGAGAGGTTCTCTTGGCATTGCCTCATGAGAGAAGTAGAAACATCTAAAATAACCGATTGTTTTACAATAACTGAACCGATTTCTCCAGAACAGCGGCAGCGATCGCAGATGGCAATTGTGGATTGTCCACCATAACCAGCCGCATATACAGAAAGCGTGTCCCTTTATGATGCGTCCCCGAGTAAGTTTTCTTGTAATTGTAATAGCCACTGAATGTGTGTATATCTATCTACAGGGTGCGCCAAAATTACGGAGACAACGCATGAGCAAACAATTTGAACTGATATTCACAGATGCTGTTTTCTTCTGTCCTAGTTTTGGTACTGTGGTGTAGAATTGTTTATGCTTACCTTGTTCAACCACCAAAATCTATGGTAGCTGCAGCGGTTGACTGATACTGACACCGTCCCTAAATCATTGGACTTCGACGTTGAGGGTTTTTGGCACGCGACAATTATCATCGTTTTGGTGTATACCCGAGCACTATCAATAGATGCTCCAAGTGGTACAGGGGACAAGGAGCTGAATGCAGTCATTCTGGATGAGAAGGGCGTGTTTCTGTGGCGACCACGAACAATCTAAGGATTGTGTGCGATAGAATTTGCAGGTAGTTGACGCGCTGGTTTCACTGGATGTCACGAGAGATAGGAATCAGGGGGGCTCTTTTGGACTTATCAGAGCCCATTGCTATCCTGAGTTTATTTTCACTTTGAAAATCGTTGCTGGGCCTTCCATCAAGTAGGAGCTCCCGTTTACGAGGCAAGGGTGGTTCAGTACTAGTGCAGCATTGATGCAGAACCGATTTTTTCGACTTTGTCGGCTTAAACGGTGGTAGAACAGCATTTCAGATCTGAGCTCGATAGGGTACGCTGTCGGATCCGTTCTAGAAGCTGAGGCTTGCATAAAACACATTATGTCTAGGGATTCGTTGAAGAAACCGCTCTAAAATGAGCTTGACGAGTCCTACTCGCCACATTGCGTGCCACAGTCGATGGTTCCTCGATGTTTCTGAGGACCCGTATAAACACAAACCAAGGAATTTCAAAAATTGCATGGATGTCGACGATTCAGAATGGGACTGTGCACGTCACTGCATTTTTGTTTTCAAAGAATTGCACCTTGCTCATCCTAGGCAACTCGAAGTCGCTGTCTCCGTAATTTTGGCGCACCCTGTAATTCGGGCCTGACTGATTCTGATTTAAAAAGTGAAACGAGCACGCACGTGGTACTTTTTGCCTAATTTAGGTAACCGTCGCTGCTCGCAGATGAGAAGCAAAGTTCCTCAATAGCTTATGCTTTATGATCCTGAATTTGATCCCCTGACCGTGTGTGTTAGTCACGCAGCCATTAGCATTTCCTGGGTTATACCTTGTAAGTGTCATTACTGAATGAGTCTTGAGGTGCTAAAAATTAACGAAGTAAAACTAGGACAATCAGCAATACCACTATAGGGTGGGGGAGTGAATATGGTGAAGGGAGTAAACTCTAGGAACAGCAGCTGGTCAATTCGAACTAACTTAGTAATGCTCCCTTGTGGAGCTCGAACTCTACGGAAGCCAAAGGATAGCTGTGAATATAATCAAAAAAGGGTATCCAGGTAAACAGTGAAGAAAAGATATAAACTCAGTGCTCATAGAATCGAGAGCATCATGGGAAGAAAACGATTAAGACTGTCAGTAACACGCTTGGAAACACGCGCTGAACTAAATTCACTCTTCAACGTATTGTCTCTCGTTCGCAGCAGATGGAAACATTAATTGCGAAGTGTTAGTGAGGCTCTTGGCGTCGGAGGCACGGACTGGATGCATCCGTAGTATCGATTGTCGCATACTTTCACATCTCTTGTATTGAATCGACATTGTGGTCTTTATCACAAAAAACTGGAACTTGGTTTCACGAGGTCTGCAAGGAAACTTATGCGATTCAGGTAATTAGATATTGCATTTACATGACTGAAAGCGATGAATTGGACGTAGTGCGAAGATGGCCACCGTGATTCCCTTTAATCACGGATAGAATTCAGTCGACATGAGGCATAAAAATTTATTCCGATGTGCTATTCCAAGAAAGATTGTTTTACAAGTAGTTTGTGCACTCCATCCTTATTTAAGATATCTACTTAGCTGCTATCCTGTTATTAATGTACTCTTCTCCTCTCATTCCTCAAACATATCGATATCGGAAAACGTTTTGGCAAACGATTTTACAAGAGTTGACACTCAATACACAGAGTTTTTCTAAATACAAACAATGTTTCTCTTATGTCGGAAGCACTCACAGATTTTCTTTTATTTTAGTTTGTTCTTTTGGAATAGATATACCGCTTCTGCTTTACTCGCGCGATCACCTCTATTTTAATCACTTTTACAGTTTACGAGGGATTCTCTCTCGTCGATGAGCTCGCGCCTTGTAAATCAGACGATAGTGGGGAGCATTTCACGCCCTGCAGTGGTTAATGCACCAAAAGTTAACCAAGTGCTGGGCAAATGATTAGCATCCATTCAAATTTCTTAGTTTGTGGCAAGGAAACAAAACTGTCCAGAATCCTAGAGGGGAAATGTAGCAAAGAGTCCGCGCGGAATCTACTTGAAGCTCATGTCACATGCATCACGCAGGAATTTAGGTGCCAGGAAGCCACCTCCTTATTTTCAGAGCAATCTCGAAATCCTTCGAAAATATTGATGCTAGCAGGAACCGCCCTGTATTGCCTAGTGTGTTCTTGAACGATTTAAGCGTCGTAATACGCTTATCTTCTATTATATAACCGCACTAATTGGTGTGTCGGTGTTGTATGGCGTGTGTATGTATGTTTATTTATGTAATTGTATGTAAATATGTTTATGTCCGTTCTGTCCGTTCGCAAAAGAATGAATTGTATAAGGAGCTCGACGGCAGTGATATCTCGAGGAAGATAGCAAACTGAGTGACGTAGCTCTCTACGATCGGTATATGCTTTTGTGGATATGTAATATGTGATAACATTATAGGCCTATAATAAACTATACTGCTGAGCAATACAAGATTCTGGTCACGCAATGGTTTGTGTGCAGTGGCAGGCTTGGATAGTAGGAGCGAAGGGAGGGATAGGATGGTGAGTGTGACGAGAGCTGGTAAAAGGCATACTCTAGCCTGTATAATATTATGAATTGGATTTGCGAGAGCCGCTTATGACTTTCATTGATAGCTCCTTGTTGTGACATTAACTTACGGGTAAGCTCCACGAAGTATTGGTGTTACAGGGGGAAGGCACCACAGCGCAAGACATAACGCTTACGCAGGAAGGAAGGTCCCGGCGGTTGACGGGGGACTAATCTGGTTCTGGAAAAACACAACTTTATCAAGCCGTTAACCGAATTAAACTTCTTTATAACGGTATGCTAGACACGCAGATTCAACGTGTAGTGTTTCCAAAACGCTATTGACAGCATGCTTGGAGAGAATAGGTGACTTATTTCTGATGAAGATGTAAATATATTGATAAACGGTGGTGATTTTTATCTTCGTATTAGTTTCGCCAAGTCCGTGCTGCGTATTGAGACACGTTTATCATGTCGAAGATGATTGAAGACTAGACCAGTTAGTATTAGTCTTCTTCTTCTCCAAGGTTCCCAATGATTTCTAGGAGATAGCCGAATGCAACTGTGTTGTGCTTCGATGGTAGTGAGCGTGTCGGCGCTTTTGGTTTTAGCGCAACCTATTAACTCTCTTTCTAGAGTATTATGTAGACGCATTATTATAGTATCTGGATCCTTCAGGGTGAGACCAATCAGGGTTTCAAATAAAGGGTTACAAACTGTATCGTTGCTTTCAAGACAAACTCCGGTATACGTACGTCTGCCAGTGAAATTAATGATAGTGGTTGCAGTTGGTATTTTATCAGTAATGAGCATAACTCTTATATCACAATTATAAGCATGACAGTGCGTCAAAATAAATAGATCGATTCAAAGATTCAGATGATAGTGCCGGTCTTAAGTTTGTAGAGCCTGTAATGCAGACTTCTCCGGCCGTCAAAAACAAATAGTATAGGGAGAGGGTAATGTTTTTGTTACGCCGCGAGGGACGCCTTCTTCGCTAGGAAAGTAGCATCTTTCGGTTCCCGGAGCTCAGCTTCCTTTTATAATGGGCGTGCTCCCGCTACTTTACATGCAATTTATTGTGCCACTTGCCCCTTTGCTTGGGATTTGCAATCGAAACCATGGAACAATTTACTACCATTTTTATATTTTAAGAGAAATTTAGGACCCTCTTCTCTATTTTAGGGAGAAATCGCCTGAGAATTCTTGTGACCAACCTCCGACCATGTCCAAGACGCTTCTTGAAGTCAGATGGACCTCTTACAGGATGGACAGCTTCATATTGCGAGACCTGAAGATATTTATGAAAATGTGAAGGTTATCCGTCTACAGAGTTGCTATCTTCCTCAATTCTGGGAAAAAGACACAAAACTGTAGCAGTGAGTTGGCTCGCTGATGCAATTTTATCATTTTATGTGTGACACATTTAGAAGTAACGGTGGTCATTCAGATCTGAATGGTCTTTCCAGCGTGCTTTAAAAATTTCAGAGGCAGCGTACGGCGACATCAGGAAGAACCTCGTGAGCAGGGTCAACCACCAAATGAGCAAGGACCAAAGAGGGGGCCGTACTTCGCCAATGGAACGGGGGGGGGGATCGTGAGTTCATGAATCAGTCACAGGTTTGAAGGTACCAAGGCATGGGCAAAAAGGACAGACTTCTAGTTACCATTCCGACTACTCACCACACACGACTGAATGGCGCATCCCAGAGAAGAGGTCTTGCTGAATAACTTCACATGCCACGAGCACGGAGCAAACAAGAAAGATTCTTTATAGGAAAATTCAGTGCTTCAGACCAAACCAAGGAAAAGTCTAACTCGGTGTATTGATTTCTAGAATCCTAATAGGAAATTCTGGCAGAGCTTCCATCTCAAAGCTTTTTATGAGTACATGCTACAAAGCCCTCATCTAGTACACTGGTGTGCAAAACTTAAGGACGAGATGGATAAATTGACCTAACTTATTAACAATTAGATGGAATTGGATGAAACTGTGCAAGCATAATGCTAGAAGCCCTACAGTCATGGGCACAAAGTGGGCCTCATATGTCTTGCATCCGGCTTCAATCTGGAGCCAAAATGGGGTGGCCACCAGAACGAGGGGTTTGGTGGGACAGGACAAGAGGGAGTGTACTGAGCAGGGAGAAGTTACTGTGGAATGTAGTGGTGTTCTTGATTACAGCAAGTCTCAGAGACAACACTAGGGTGACTTCCCGCGAGGAAGAATCACCGGGAAACTGGAAGAAGGAAGATTTGTAACGAGTGTGGGCCAGGAGTCTGATATTGCTCACACCATTGTTTTGTGCGCATGAGGAGCCAATATGGACTGCAGTAACTGCTGCCCCTGGAAGAGTAAGTGGTGGATCACGAATAAATGCAACAGCATGTAATTGCTAGGTTTTTCAACAGGCGAAAATGGACCCACGTCAGCCGCAAGCTGCAGTTGCAAAACCATTTATCAGGATTGTAAGGCATGTAATTTCCAGCCTGAACAGCGGTAGAGTGACCGTATAGGCATGGCCCCTCTGGCCGACTGACAGTATCTGGTGTTCCTTCGAAAAGCGCGCATTGGCGGGAACATTTGCATAGGTGCCGAGACATTGGCGATGGACCACTGATTTGAAAAATCGCGTGTTCTTCTCAGTTAAGATCAAATTGAATGTAAGTAGTGATTTTGGACTTACCGCATGTGGCGAGAATAGGAACATGTAATGCACCCAGGACCATCGTTCAACATGATTGTTTTGATAGTCCATTCGATATGGTGTGGGGAGGCATAAAGTTGCAAGGGCGTACCAACCTCCTAACTAATGATCGCGCAATGCTTTGTGATGGACGTTAAAGTCCGCGCGCTTTGTCTAGCTCATTGTAGAGAAGGGATTCGAGGCAACATGGAACTTACCCATTAAAGCCACGAGTCAGGATTAGGCAACCAGCAGAAGTTCTTCCCAGGGTGCGATAGTGGGCTCCCCAAGCACTGAGGGCGCGACACTATCGCGACCCAAAAGTGCGCGGCAATGGCGCTAAGGCCTTGCCCGCCGCGCTGCCAGCGTAATCCACCACGGCATACGTGGTCTCTGCGTCCTCTCGCGTACGACGTACTATCTCGCGTTCTCCCTCTCCTCGCAGCGCTGTGTCTCTCCGTCGTACTACGGCCGGCCTCCTAAGGGAAATTTAGTGTTTTCTATGGTGCTTTTTGCTTTTTCTCCTCACTAATGTTCCTCATTGCACCCCTTGCCTAATGTTTGAACAAAATAACGCATCAATTCAATCCCAACTCGTGCCCTTAAATAGAAGTAATTTCCAAATCTTCAATGTGCAATCTAAGCAATAATGATAGTAATCACAGCGATTTCTACTTCCAGGAACCTACCAAATTTTTTGCAAACTCCCAAATCTCCTTTTTTATGAACTGAAAGAGAAATTGAACCTTGCAGCAGATGCGTTACGGCACAAATCTCTTCATTCAAAAGGTTATTTCTCTTGCCAGAAGCGGTCTCGTGAAATGAAATACAGCAATTTGAAAAATTCAAACTGTTCTAAACAGTTTTTGTACTGTTTCACAAGAATGCTGGGTTGTGAACAAAACTTTCGCCCCAGGCGGGACTAGAACCCGCACCTCTCGCTTTCCGGGCAAGTGCGCTACCAGTTACGCTACCGAGGA